TCTCTTTCTCCTTCCTGGTAAGTATAATATGCACTGCTCTGCTCTACCACACCTTTCCTGACATGAAAGACTAAAACCTCTGAAATCATGAATTAAAATAAATTGTTTCTCACTGAGGTTCTTTTGCAAGATATGTTGTCACAGCAAAAAAATAAATAAATAAATAAATCTGATGAACAAATACCCTTATTGAAAAGTCTTTCTTCTTAGGGAAGGTTGAAGAACTGGGAGCATCCTTTGTTGTCTATTCCAGCATGTAGCTGGCCTCATTCCAGGGAGTAGTGCAGACATTTGATTTAATTGCTTTTAAGAAATGATGGGGCTGAAGAGATGGCTCAGCAGTTAAGAGCAGTAGGTGCTCTTGCAAAGGACAAGGGTTAGGTTCCCAGCACCCATATGGCTGCTAACAACCATTTGAAATTCCAGTTCTGGGAGATCTGATGCCATCTTCTGGCCTCTATGGGCATTGCACACCCATGGTGCACCTACACAGACATACACATTTTTTTTTTTAATTAAAGAACTAAAAAATAGATATGACCCAACGTGGTATATGGTCAACAGCTTGAGGTTGAACCCAAAGGAGTCAAGCTTCAAATAGCTCTTCCATTGATGTACTAAGTACTTAATGCAAGTTTAACCTTTCTGGTCCCCAGTTTCTTATTCTACAATTGGAAGATAGTAAAATACAATTTCATAGCGTCACCATAGAGACATAATGGGATAATTATTATTAGGAGAATGAAAAGTTGAACTAACATCTGTCATTTTTTTGACAAACAACAGTCAGTAGTGGAGATGTTACTATTATTCCTGTTTTGTAGCAGCATGGGGAGAGTAGGGGAGGATCTCTAAGTCCCCTAGCCCAAGGATGTCCAAAGCTAACCATAGACCCTCAGGAGGATTTGTGCATAGAATCTTGTGAGTTTCTAAATAGGAAAACTTTTATTTTTACAGGAATTGAAATTTAGTATGCTCCTCAAATTAGAACTGCAGCCGCAAACCACCAGGATACTAACACCAAAGGGGTTTTGTCACTGGAAGAATCAAGTCACAGTGCAGAGACAGCTTGAGGAATTGTTAGTACTATCATGACTTTAAAACTGACCACAGGGCCTTCTTTCTAGTACATTTGTTAAGAGATCTATTTATTACTCCATCACAGAAATGGAGTTTTAAAATATTTTTATGACTGTATTTTAAGATAATGAGTTGCTTTTGTGCTTCTATATTTTATTTTCTCCACTGGAAGTCATTTTTCTGAGAAAGGAATGTACAGGCTTTACGAGATGCCCAAACATGCTGGTGACAACAGGTTAACAGCCTTCAGCCGATTGTGGTGGTGCACACCTGAATTTCTAGCACTTGGAAGGGAAAAGCAGGAGGATTCTGAGTTCAAAGCCAGAGACCCTGAAGAGAGAAGAAAATGAAAGAAGGGAAGGAAGCAGAGAAGGGAGGAGGGGTAGAGAAGGAGTCTGACTATATAACAGCTGGCTGTATCAAGTATCTAACAAGTATTCAAAACAGAAGCATCACTGAAGTGGTAATTATAAATAAAATCTTGGTGTTCCAGAAAGTGATAAGGGATTCAATCTATTGGCTGTACCCACCACAAGAATGATAAGGAAGGGAGGCTCATTCAGGTAAAAGATCAGGATTAAAGATTAACCCCAACCTCCTCCTTTTAGGATCAAAGAAATAGAATTATAAAGAAAGCTACTTTCAGGACGTGGGGACATAGGAAATGTGTACTGGGGTTAATAGCATCAGGCAGCCATCTTGTAGAATCAGTCTATTATTACAGGACACAATCTTTCAACATTGGGCATGAAGCCAAAGAATGCTCCAAAGGAGTGTCCCTCTCTCTGGGTGCACACAGCTCTATTCCATTTCTTATAAATCCTGAGGTCTTAGGAAAAGCTCCCAGGTACTGGATGATCAGGCTATGTGACACTGGGTCTGAGAGCCACTGCCTTTCAGTGGTAGGGAGCTTGTTTCTAGCTCTGGATCCTGGGTCCTAATACAGACTTCTGTCATCTGAACTTCTGCATGTTTACGGAGCTCCTTCACTGACTCACATGTTCATCCAAGTGAGAACTGCTAGTGAACAGATACAGGATGAGTTCTGGAGTTCAAATCCCCATTCTCCCACTTACTAGATGAATTGATTTGAATGAATTACACCAATTTTAGCTATATCTCTAAGCTACGTCTCCAAAGCAAACACTTGTGAGGATTAAACATGCCAAGACACTGTTTTTAGTAGTGTTTGTCTTTGCAAATATGCTTTGCATGTTTGTTTCTGTGTTTTATGATTTGTGAGTAACTGGGTGGCTTAATTAGCACAGCAGCGTGTCTCTCCCCTCAAAGGCACAATTTCCTGTACCATGACTGCATCTGTTGGCCTCTGATGTGTCCCAGTCGGTCGCTCCACCTCCAAACATGGTCCCAAGTGCCAGGAGAGCTTTCTCTCCTTCATTTTCTCCTTCCCCATTTCTCAAACAGGACTTTACACCAAAGAAAGTCTACCAGATCTGTGTGGTGTCACACCAATCGGCCCTCTGGCCTGTGGGGCAATCGCCAAATCCTAGAGTAAGGACCCTGACTCTGTCTGCTGATTGTGATCCACTCTGTCCATGGCTCGATATAGAAACCCTCTTAAGCATCCCCAGAGTGGACGCTTCCTTTCTGGGGGACCCCGGGCCTCTGGCTGTGAGTGGCCACTGTGAATTCCTGTCCCCTCCTTGGCATCTTTGCACAAGTAGAAGTTAGTGCACAATGGCTGATTCCTAGTTGCCAGTAGGTACATCTCTGGACCTTTGGCTTCTCTCATACGGTGAACACTTTTCTGTCCTTGTATTTGCCAGCCTAAGGAGTGTCATCTCAAAGGAAGTCTCTGGAAGCAATTCATAAAAAGTGCATATCAGAATTAGGTAGGGTGGTTCTGAGAATGTGTGTTTATACCTCATAAACTTTATATTCATGAGAGCATGGAAATGGAACCAGCCTACATGTCCACTGATGGAGGAATGGATAATGAAAATGTGCATACAGACAATGGAATATTATTCAGCTGTAAAGAAAAATGAAATCACTAAAGTTGCAGTAAAGTATACAGATCTGAAAAATATATAAAACGAGGTGAACCAAATTCAGAAAGGCAAAAACTGCATGTTCTGCCTCACATGTGGATCCTAGCCTATAATGTGTTCACGTATATATGTAAACAGGTATAAGGGTAGGTAAAGACTAAAGATCTGGCAGAAGACCAATAGAGGGTAATATTAGATGGTGAGGAAGGTTGGTAGGGGAACAGATGGACACATGAGGCAAAAAGAGGAAAATCTACAACGGTGAGAGGGAAAAAGGGGGGCAGGACAGGGTGGGGATGGAGAGCCACAAGCATGCTTTGTTTGAAAATGTCATAGTGGTATTTGACACATTGTATGCTGATTTAAAAAATAAAATAAACATGAAAAAAATCACCTGTATCCAGAAGTCCAAACACGTAGAGTTCTAACAGACATCCTAAGAGCCCTTTGCTGGCTGGCCGCCTTATCGTCGTCTCCATCTCCTCCCCAAATCGCCTCCACTTCTTGACTTTTCAACTGTATAGCATTTATTTATTTATTTATTTTTATTTATTGGTGTGGGGGAGGGCTCATGTATGCCATGGGGTACATGTGGGAGTCAGAGGACAACTTACGGGAGTCAGCTCTCTTCTTCCACCGTATGAGTCCTCAGAATCAAATTTTGGTTTTCAGATTTGGCAGCCAGTGCCTTGACCCACGAGGCCAACTCACCAGCTCAGCGTCACTTCTTAGGTGAATCACTAATGTTCAGAATCTTCTTTTTTTGGAGTGTTTTTTAGGAAAAACCATATTATTACAGATTTCTGCTTTAAAATACCAAACTCAATGCTAACAGAGACCAGTCAGGAAATAAAATTTAATAAATAAGGGCGAGTCTTATCCTGTCCTTTAGTTCTTTCAATAGTTATACTGTCTACAACCCTGGTTACTAACAGAAACAGAAGTCCAAAGTTCAGCTAGGTTCTTGGTCGTTAATATTAATTTAGTTATAATAAAAAGGCACAGAAATATCATATTTTAAGGAAACGAACTGACTGGCATGCGACATACTTACCAAAAAGACTCCAAGCAAAAATCTGGAAATCTTGCTATTAACTACTTTTTTTTTCTTTTATGCAAGGACTGCCCCAAATGTTGTGTCTTAAAGACTCAGCTCTGAGCACTAATATTGTGTTCCCTGGTAGAAATTCAGATTATGCTGTGAGTCTCTAAAGATAAATAGAAACTGCAAATGTGTCACATATAATCAGTTTTATTGCCAGGTAAGAAATTCATATTAATATAGTGAATACATATGTTTACAAATAAACACTCATAGAAAACAAACAAATGTTTTTTCTTCATTGTAGGAAGTATTATTGGTATCATAAACTCTGCACTTGTGACAAGTATTAACACAGGTTTACTTGCAGAACATACAGTTACTAAAATATTTGCTCCATTTACACAAAAAAACTGGGGGAGTTAGATGGGAACGCCAGGCAGAGCCCAAGGCAGGTGGGGGCTGAGACACTCTGGGAAGGTGAAGGAAGCCAGATTCTGTCTGGCCCATTGAGTTAGAAATCTGGGTCAGCTAGAGGGAAGAAGAGTCTGGTGCTTTCACACAGAATGAGGAGAGAAGAGTCTGTTTTGATCTGACTTTTCCGTTTCTCCCCACCTTTGCCACAGGGTCCTTGTCTTGGCACACGGCAGCCATTGATAACCCTCCTTTCAATATCATGGAGTCTGTCTACCTTCCCAAATAATGGAATAAACAGGCCTTGAACCTGTCTGATTGTCTCTCTCCAGCTCATCTACCGAAGCCAACTGGATGTTAATGAGACAGAAGCACTGTTGGGCCGTCCCTGGACAGCACCACTTGGGAAGTACCTGCTACATCTTATTGACCAAGCTGCATCTTTGGAGCCAAAATTACAATCTCAGACTCCTAAGGAGCCAACCTCACTGAACAAAATTGACTCCAAAAAGAAAGCGCATGAAGAAGAAGTAAGATACTATTGATTAGAAATCAAGAAAATCCTTAGAGATAGATAAGGGTGCAATGGAGTAGGTTAAGGACAAAAAGGGAAAGTGATCTAGAAGAGAAGAGGAATTGCAGAACCTTTGGCCTGGAAGGAACCTCTCAGCTAAGCCAGCCCAGTGTTTGTTGAAGCAGACTGTGTACCACTCGCACAGGCAAATGGATGCAGGTAGCATATGAACACAGCACCATCTAACACTGGCTTATAGAACAATGGATTCTCTTTTCATTTACTTTTCTGTTCACCTGATTATCCCAAGGAGAAACTGCTCTTTGGATGTAGGTATCTTCAACTACACTAACACCTGTGAATGTCTTTATCATAGAGAGAGAAACAGCAGGACAGCTTTAGTTAAGACCATTTCAGGGGCACCAGCACTTAGCTAGAATTTGATCTTTGCTGCCTTCGTGCTTACTTCTTATTCATGGTAATAGATTCTGGTCTTCTACATGTGAAGACAGAATGTTTTCCTTTAAAAATAACATGGATTAAAACTGAATCCATTTAGATACCACTGCTGAGATGGGGATACCTGGATGCCAATGTGTTTCAAGGATATAGCTAACTCATATCAATGAAAAACCACCATGCCCAGCAATCTTTACTTCCCTGTAGAGCATACTGGCATCTCTACATTCACTCCGACCTCTACACTGCCTTTCACTGAACTTCTTTATGTATGGAATCCTTTTCTTGGAAAGATTCATTTGTAAATAAGAGCAGAAGTTTTACTATTTTTAAAAGCTGGAGAAGCTTGACGTGGGCCCACTTCAGATGGGAGAAGCTTGACCCAGGCTCAGGCTTCAGGTGAGACACAGAGGCCCAGTGGGATCAAAGACATCACTGGCCTCTTCATACTTGCTGGGAGTGAGGAAGAGGATATGTGGATATGCTGACTGCATGAGTAGAGAGACCCAGGAGGCAGAACATCACATGCAATGCTCCAACTCTCCTTTGACTAGACCTTTTGGAGCCTCTGACACACCAAAGGAGCTGTGAGTCTTTGGAAAACTCCTGCTAATTAGCTAAGACCTTCAGGGCTACTTGAAAACCTCCCACTTTAAATGATAATTTCTTCCCCTTCCATGTACCTGTCTGGGCTTCCTCTAAACAAATTGGATTTTAGGAAGATTTTCTTTGTTGGGATACTCAAAGGCTATTGGTTATAAGAATCAATCTGTAAGCAACTTTGAGAGATTCCAGGTGAGAGGGGAAGATGCCAAACACCTCCAGGGGTAATTTGGAGGGGTGTAGGAATTTTGGGAGTGTCCTTAGGTACCCCTGACATAGCAGCAGCCCTCTCAAAGGGTGTGAATGAGGTGGGCTCACGTACAAAGGAAAGGTGGAAACATCAGTACTGCAGAAAAAAACAGAAGGGAGGAAGGCTAAAAGAACACAGGTTGCACTTGGGAAACGAGACCATCACTTTAACAACAGCAACACATTGAAGGCACCACCCACGCTTATGACATTTTTCAGTCCAAAGCAGTTGAAGTTTGGCAGCAGCAACGCACTGAAGGGGAAGGGATGTAGGGGACAGACGGTTAATAGAGGATTTGATTCTATGGTTGTTCCCCGTCTTGGAGGTAAAGGAGAAACACCAGGAAGCCGGGCTTCTCAGTCCTCATCACACCTCCTGTTCATCTTCCAATGGTGGATTGATGTTGGGAGTGTGGGTTTCCTAAACCTTGAAAGTTTTGCACAAAAATTAATGCTCTGTTCTCATTTGTTTTGTAGTGGGCCTATATTTTTAATGTCTTTTAAAAAATTCGTGTTTTTTTTTTATTTCTCTGGACCCTATTCCCATCGTAAAGCCCACCCCTCCCATTTCCATGGTCACAGTCTTTATGGGAGTTTTCTAGAATGTTCTTTCCTTCCCATCACTGTCAGGGGGCTCAGAGTCTATTTGTTTAGAGTCTGAGTGTGTGTTTCTTGTTTTTGACTTGGTGATATGAAACGCTGAGGTTCCCTACTATCTCCGGACTGTCAGAATTCAGTATCTGCATCACTCTTTGGACTAGACAACACTTGTGACATGGGCAGATTCCTCCCCAATCATTTTTCCCACCTGTCCACCTTCATTCGTTCACCCAGACAGTGTGTGGAAGTAGATTATGTGCTCAAATGGACAATTTCTCTAAATTGTGCTACCTATATATATTTTTTTTTCATCATGGATTTCAGTTTCCGGTTAGGAGGAAAAAGAAAAGTGAGTTCCCACAGTTTGGACATGTGAGTTGGCCTGAAGGGAAGGAGTGTGCCTCAGTTTCCCCTCTGCTGTATTGCTGAATGTCCATGTTTCAGTCTTCCTCAGCTGCCTGCTGGAGCGTGTTAGGCATGACCCAGGAAAAGCGTGATTCCGTGTCACGGGTAGGTCGGTGGTTGGTTCCTTTAGAGAGCTAGTGTGTGTTGGGGGGAGGATAGGACCAGGACGGTGTGGGCGGAATGGTATTTTTTGCCTCTCTCAGTTAAGTGTGGTCTCCAGGGTACTCCCTGCAGTGAAAGCTCAGACAGTCACTTCTGTTTTGCTATTGGTGATGAAGTATGGCTGTGTGGGTGGGAAGTGCTGGGTGCGAGTCCCTAAGGGGTCGCAGGAACCCGACTCAGCCATACCAAGCTTGCCCTTGTTGCCATAAGCTTGCCGCCGGAGAGATTGGTCACTGGGGTCCCAGGTCTTAAAGTTGGCGGTGGAGTTGTAGGCCAGGGGATGAGAGGGCATCTTGTTGGTGCGGGACTTCTGTCCGTTCTGCTTGGCAGGCCCGTGCTCAGGACTGAAGGCCCGGGGCTCATCTTCCACTCTCACGGGATGCAAAGGTAGGTTCCCCTTGGCAGCCAGCTCGGCCAGATGCCTTCGCTTGGTGTAGAAGTCGTCGTTGACCTTGTCAGCTGCACAGTGGGGAAGTGGATGGAGAAGAGGAGAGAGCCGAGAGAGGGAGAGAGAAGAAAGAGTTAGAGGATTAGGCAGGTGAACCTGAGAACAGCATTAAAATGGGCAGAGTCAAAACAAGACACTAGAAACTCCACCTGGAACAAGACAGAGGGAAGCATAGCACCACGTCCTTTCCACAAACAAGAGCAGGAACAAGAGGGCTAAGGGCATGCCCAAGGGGATCTCTAGACTGCCCCGATTAAACACGTCTTCCTACCTGTTGCCAACCTTTGGTTTCCTATGATGTTCAACTGTTGTTTCCTCTCTATTAAAATAATCATGCTCACTAGAAAGGGTATCAGATCAGACCCACTGAAAAATCTAGCACCTAGCACTCAAGAAAGGCAGTATCAACTGATGGATATATTTTCTTCTGGTCTTTTCTGGATTTTGTGAGTGTGTGTGTGTGTGTGTGTGTGTGTGTGTGTGTGTACTGAAAGGTACACATGGGTGCTGGACTTCAACCTTCGGTGATTTTTCTCAGCTAGTCTCTGCCTCATTTTTTGAGACAAGGTTGCTCACTTTTACCAAAACTCAGACTCCAATAGTCTCAGGGGCTATCAAGTCCCAGGGGGGCCCCCATCTCCACATCCCTAGCACTGGGATTACAAGACTGTGCCACCACACTCTGCGTTTTTTATGTAGGTTCCAGGCATCAAACTCAGATCCCCCCACTTGAATGGCAAGCACTTTTCCAACTGAACCATCTCAAACCTCTTCTGGACTTGTATTGGCTTGATTGCTTTTATTTTGCTTTTAGTTTTTAGTAGTATCACACCCAAATGCCAATTCCGTCACTTGCTAGTAGTGTAAGTTTGACTAAGCTGCTTAAGTTCTACCAACATCCACTTTTGCATAAGGAAAGTACTTGAAACAAAAAAAGTATTTCATGGCTTGGTTTAGAGAGTTAAGAGATTTAATGCACACTAAGTGCTTGATGTTAGCCATCACTATCATAAAAAGAATTCAGTTTTTCCTATAATATTCTCTCAAGCATCCTTTATCTTCTTATGAATTACTAATAAGTAATGTTTAATGCCTACATAACATTTCCTTACATAAAGCTATCAAAATTAATCCATCCCCTTATTGATGAAATTTAAGCTGTGCCAATAAATAGGGAAGAGATGAAGATAATTTTTAATTGTATTTATTATTTTTATTTTATGTGTATGAGTGTATTGCCTGTGTGTATGTAAGTGCACCCATGTTGTACAATACCCATGCAAGTCAGAGAAGGGTGTCAAATCCCCTGGAACTGGAGTTGGGATGGTTGTTAGTTGCCATGTGGGTGCTAAGAACTGAACCTGGGTCCTCCGCAAGAGCAGCCAGAGCTCTTAATCTTTGAGCCATCTCTCCCACCCCAAGATGAAAATCTTTTGATTCAAATCTCTCCTTCATATTTAGATTTTTGAACTTAGAATAGTTCTAAAAAATATTTTCTTAATCTGCATCAAGAATTAGCAAACTATGGCTCATTGAGTACTATCAAGTTTGCTACCACCTACTGTTATAAATAAAGTTTTATTGAAAACAAAGCCATGCCTATTCATTTATCTATGTTTCACGGCTGATTTTTCTCCGTTGTGGCTATGGTGGAATTGAATCCCGTTGGCAAACATTGCATGGCTGAAGAGTCTAAAATATTTACTGTTGAACCCTTTAAGACAAAGCTGGTTGACCTCTTCTCTGGATTACTCAAGTTATAACGATTTGGCCAAAGAATATAAACATGGTTAAGTCTCTTGATGTATATTTTGTCAACTCATCTATGAGTTATGCCAATTTTTATTCAGTTTAATCACATCCTGTCCTACATTTAACACTTCCTTCCTCTTTCTTTCCCTTTCTCCTTCCTTTCCTTCAGTCTCCTCTCCTTCCTCCTTCCTACTTTATTTCTTTTTATTTATATCCTTATTTATCTGATAATTTAATGACTCCCTTTTATTTCATTTCATCTTTTTATTTTGCAATTTTATTTCTAAATTTTTTTCACTTTTTTCTTTGTTAATAGAACTTTTTTAAATTTAATTTTTATGTATTTCATAAAAAACATCTCAATCAATATTAATCATCTTTATACCCCTGTGCCTACTAGCACCCTGCCATAGTCCCCTCCCCCACTGAAGCCCATATACTCTCTCATCCTTGTTAAGGCTCTCTGTGTCAAGTCAGTGTCCCCAGGTGTTCCCCAGTACAAGTCCATCCATTGAGGTCTAGCCAGCCTATCTAGAGTCCCTTGATTTAGGGAGCTCTTTTAGATTATTTTAGGAACACTAAACATTTGAAATTATATTTCACTTGGAATCAGAAATATTTATTACCCCCATTCATTTTCACTTCTAACATCCCATAGTGTTACAGTTGTGAATTTGCATAAATTCGCGGAAATCATCAAAGTAACATGTTTCTTCTCTTATTCTTTTCTCTTTTCCTGTACAAAGGTAGGAAAAATGAAGATATGATTCCTGCTATACAAACTAGGGAACTTTTAAGCTCAAAATTATGAAATGATTAAACTAAGGTTAACCATAGCTAGTAGCAAAGCCAAGGTAGAACATAAGTCCAATAACCTTCATTTGATATTTCATCTGAAAGGCCACAGAGGAATGGTTACATCCCAGTTGCTCCCTCTGTGTCTGTGACAGACATCACTTACTGATCACAGAGCTGGTTCCTGGGATGCCTGGCCTCTACTGAAACAATACCCCAGGCAGCCACATATTAACCTTCTAGGTTAAATACAGTTTAATCTGGATTTCTATTTCTTGTAATACAAATAACCCAAACTGCTATAGTCTTTTTAAAAAACCACCTTTCCTTAAATTCTAGAGCTATTTAAAAATGCAATATTTTGTCAAAGTCAAGAGAAATCTTAGAGTCTACCACTGAAGATATAAGGAACACATTTTAGAAACGTCCTGAGCTCTTAAGATGGTACACGTTAATTACAAAGTTTGAACTAGAATGCCATCTCCATGCTTTCCAGAAGAAAATTCTATACTTCCCATATCATGACATGTCAGCAGAAGATGCACTGAGATGCCCCTTTACACTTTAAAATTCAATGTCAGGTATCTTTTGGGAAAAATCCCTAGACATAAAGAGGACAAAGCTATCAGCACCACTCATATTTAACCTTCTTTATGTTCCTTCTTAGCTCTCAGATCATCTACCTCCTAGTCCCTCAAGCCAGAAGCTTGAGAATAACTTTTGACTTCATCCTCCTCTCCTCTTGCAGCATAAGTGCAATATGTCTAACAAGTACTTCTCTCTTTTATCCTACCTGCTTTAAATATTTCTCTACTTCAGTCAACAAACTGACTCATTTCACCTCCTTCAATCCACTCACCATGAGGCAGTCAAAGGCATAACTCTTAGATGCAAAGCTAATCATGTTGCTGGTCTGCCCAAGCACCATCATGGCATTGGTTCAGTCACTAAATTGTTCACCAGATAGGCACCTGAAATGTTCTAGACACCAGAAATATATAGATATAAGAGAGAGTCAGACACAGCAGAGCCTCTGGCCTAATTGGATAGACATTCTAGGGAGGGAAAGATAGTAACCATGCAATCTCACAGACTACATGCAATTTTAGACACATACATGCTACGTAGAGCTGTGTACGTTTAAGTTTATAAATATAACGAGTGTGTTACTTTTGCATTGCTGTGACAAAATACCTGACAGAAACAACTTGACAGAGGAAAGTTTCTTTTGACTCCTTGTTTAAGATTTCAGTCCACCATGACAGAAAGGGCAAGATGGAGTTCTTAGCAGCAAGAACATATGGGAGAGGCTACTGATATCACAGTGGACCAGGAAGCAGAGAGGACAGGCTGCAACCAGGGGTGGGTATAACTTTCAAAGTCCCAACCCTACTGACACACTTATGCCAGCCAGGCTCCCCCTCTTAAAGGTTTCACACCCTTCAAAATAGTGCCACATCTGGGGGAAAGCATTCAACACATAGGCCTATGTGTTCATTTCAGATTTAAACCATAATAATAGGGTTCCTGCTATGGTCCAAGAATCACACCTGTGAACCAAGATATCCCACCAGTCTCTGCCCTCAGTCTTACCATTGCTCATCTTTCAAGACTTAGTTAAGATGTTGCCTCATGTTCCTTTGGTCTCCCTTACCCCCACAAGCCCTGCTGTCTCCACGAAAGCTCTGACTATGCTATTTTAAAACTACCATGGTCACAACAGCTTTACCACCAAATCATGAATTCTTGAAGAGCCATCTTTGTGGCTTAGTTGCTGTCCATCCTGGTGATACAAGCAATCACGGGGGATCAGGGAGAAAGTACTCAGGCACACAGACCCATCTCCAAACCTTTTCATTGGAATCTCTGAAAGGCTAGCCCAGGCATAGTTTATTTTTAAATCACAGGTAAAGCTGATCCTCAGCTGATCTGGAGAACCACAGGAACAGCTTTGGGAGCCATCACAAAGCCACACACCCTACTCCTAGTATCCTCGTTGCCTCCCACTTCAGACAGCTCTTCTTTCTAGGAAGGCAGAGTGGGTCAGACCCCTCCATGATACACCCTTCTCCATGGCACCTGGCATTGCTACTACTTTACAGCTGCTCCTACAACTTGTTCATTAGTGTCTATCTCATTCTCTCTAGAGATTCTAGAAGGCAAGGCCAGGTCTGATTGTTTTGTCCACCCTTGCATGGCAGTGTGCAACCTAGTTCCTAGTAAATATTGAGTATTCAATAAATATTCAGTGGTGATGGTGTAAGCAAAATAACAGTACTGAAAACTTCAGATCAAGAATGTGGTGGAGAAGCTTCTTTCCCACTTGCCTTCCAGTGATCTACTGAAAATCTCATTCACCCTCATCACCACCTGGTTGTGACCTTACATGTCTCATTTCCATGCTCATATTTCCCAAACATTAGACTAGTCCAAGGTCTGCATAGAGCAAGTGTCAAAGCATCTC